ACTCATTCTTAGGGGAAAACGATTGGGTTTGGACCACTTCAAGAGGTAATACGAATGTAGTCTTACTGACTAAGTGAAGCAGGACCTCGGTCAGATCGTGGGCCTGACCTCACTTGAGCCTCAGGAATGAAAAGCTACTTGGCAGGTGAGGGGCAGCGCGGGAGGCGACATGAGAGTCTAAGATATAAGGAGGTGGTTGAACCCTGGTGTAACCTCAAAGGGGAATGTGCAACCATAACATGCTCTGCTAGGGAGCAGTAATCTGAAACATGCTCTTTATAAACCACCGTAACCAAGAATTCTTTTATTTTTTCTGGGAATGGTAGGGATGGGGTGACTGTTTGAAATCTGATCTAGGAATGACCCTTCACAAATTAACCTTTATTTAACCAGACAGACTTTCAGTAACACTGCTGATGGGAACTAGTGAAATGTAAGCACTACATGTAGAAGAACCTTTTTCAAGTGACAAAAACACTGTACAATTGCAACTTCATAGCATCTTTTAACAAGCACAGACATCAGCTCAGTACAGATTTGACAGAAAGTGCTTTACCGTTATTCATAGTAGGACCTAATTTTTTAATTTAAAAATGTCATTTGAGTTAAAGTTTTCATTTAAATAGAATTAGAAGTAGACATCATTAGCTTTCACCAGGCCAAAACCCAGTCACAACAATCCATGAACGCCACAAGAAGACTATTCACATCCATCTTTAAAAAGAGAAGTTACTAATACTTCCAGTATACAGTACAACAACTTGTTGTCCAGTTCAATATCCTCAGAAACTGCGTGCACTGGATGATGCCACAGCTCATGTTTCTGCTTTACAAATTAGCACAGTGGGGTTGAGGGTAGTAGCTCACTGTTTGATTTGGTGAGCTGCCCTGTTAAAGTCCCTGGTGGCTGGTAGAAGGAGGCTGACTGCAGCAACACTGCTCAGACACCGAAGACACACAGATGTGTCTTTTGACAGTGTCACTTAAAGAGGATCTCTCCAGAGGTCCATACCATGAATGGAAATATCAGATGACATGAACTGATTTTCAGCATGTTAAATCTGCCATAGCCGCTTTCGTTGACACAATCAATTCTCCTGATAATACAACACCACTTCCAAAAACGTTGGGATGCTCTGTAAATTGTAAATAAAAACTGAAATATTTTTAAAACCCCATATAGCTCATATTCATTTGATAACAATACAGAGATAAGATAATATTTTATGTTTACATTGTCTTGTTCTGAATTTGAGGGCAGAAACATGCTCTAACAAGTTTTGGACAGGGGCAGTAAGAGAGCGGTAAGTTGTGTTATGCAAAAAAAAAAAGAGAAAAGAAAAAACTAAGTTTACTTAGGCTAACCAGCACTGTCCCACCAGTGGGGACACTGCAGCCTTGTGCCATACACCCTTTGAAAGCTAAAAGTCTCCAAATTTTAGCTAAACTTAAATGAAGCATGTTATAGTCTCCATATCTATAACTGCTGTTAATTAATATTTTCAGCAGTATAGTGCACAAAACAGAATAGTTGCTCCCTACCTATCTCAGTCTGTAGCCAAGATTTGTCCAAGTCACAGCTCAACACCATATTTATCACATTTCCTATTAACAAAATCCACCCAGCCTCCATCCAGCCTATCGTCTCCAAAATCCACTCCATTTCATGGAGAAAAAGTCCAAAAACTGAAGCGTCTCTATTTTTGATCAGTGTTCTTCTGGCCTACTGCTAATGCTAACCCAGCGACGCCATATTGTAAACAGAACGCGTATAAGCTCTCCCATTTATCAGTCAGTACGTCAATCAAAGTGATCAGCCAACACTCGGCGAGGGACAGCCTATCATCTCCTCAGTGTTACCCTGGCCAATCACAGGCGTTGGCAAAATGATTGACAAGCATCAAAGCCAATGAAATTTTGAGTGTAAACACGTACGAGAAAGCCTCGTAGAAAATACGTACCTAGGTTTCCTAACCTATTAAAGGACCTTTCAGTTATTTATTGTGATTCATTTGAAGGCTACAGACTGAAGCGTATGTAAATAATTGTTCCATTTCATTATTTTTGTGAATTAAACATTTTTAATGAGTAATTACCCTGTTATATTACTTTGTACAAAAACATCAGGTACTGTAAGAAAATATCTGTTGGCAAATTTGCATTACTTTCGGATGGAAGCCAGACTTCAAACACAATGTTGAAAACCCAGAAAAACATCTGAGAAATAACCTAAAGTCTCTCTCCATCCTCCACACTCATCACCAGCAGCCCATTAGAAAGAAAGCCCTGGAGAGGCACAGACATTGGATGAAATAGGTCTGGGGCTTCAGGCCTTTATCTGTCTTTTACTTTCTCCTCACCCCTTTAGCCCCATTGAGCAAATAAACATTAAAAAACAGACTTCAATAGGGCACCAGGTCACTGGTCCCAAAAACTGGAAAAATAAATGGCCAGTGGACATCAAACACACCGTCATCATCTGCCTCAGCCCAGACAAACACATCAAACGAGCCGAGCGAATGATTCTTGCCTGCCCTGAAGTCTTATTATCCTCTCTCCCCATCTGCCTCACTGAGCATCTTAAATGGAGTTGCCCATTGACCTGGGTAGGCTCATAAATCACCACGATGGGTTCCAGAGGTAAGTTCTCCTCAAGGTAAAAGAATCATAATATTGATCTTTTTTATATTTTTTACTCACAACCAACTTATTTAAAAAGGGAGTCCTACTGTATCCTGTTGAGATTTGTTAGTCTATATCTGGTAACAGGGCTACTAGGTCAGCTTTCCTCATTTTAACTCGGTGGCTCAAACCAGCCTGTTTGATGCTGGCTTCCACAGTTGTTACCCAGGATGCCCAGCAGAAAGTCAAAGCCTACAAAGAGGCCATGTCTGGAATATGCCTGTGCTAAGCCTAATGACCCATAGCACAATTAACACTCTGCAGCTCAGCAGGTCAGCGTGCAGATATGAAGGTGTTTATTGGCTCTTGCCTGTGGTTCCCTGGCACAGTCTGTCGTACCCAGCTGATCATCTTCCAGACTGGAGTTGGAGGCGATCCAGTCTGACACATGCACAGTACAGTGGAGCCCAGAAGGCACACATAGCAGCAGATGGACCAATGAGACACCACAAAAGTGCTGTTTTAATCCTCATGCAATGTACAATGAACAGTTTGGTTCACATTCCTTTCCTTGAAAAAAAGGTCTGATGATGAAGTCTGTTTTTACTCTGCATGAATAGTATCCGCCCAAAAGAAAAATATACAGTTAGTTAGTTAGTTAATTAGTTGGTTAGTTGGCTAGTTAGTTATGCAAGCTGATATAGTTTCCTATATTAATGTGTGGAACTCCCGTTGAAACTCAGAAGTCAGCTGTTGTGTCAACAGTAAAGCAACAGCAGATTACCATAACTCTCAGTTATATAATCACAGATTCTGTGCTTTTCTCACCTCAGCTCACATCCCATTTAAGATGTCGATGAATTATAATGCAACTGACCCATTTTCACATATAAAAGTAGTGTCTTTTCCATCTTTAGTATCTAGTGGAGATCAGTTGTTAACTGGGTGTGGTAGTTTTCAGAGAGGATGCTGTGCTTTGCTTAAAGTCATGAGAATGGTTTGATTTTAATTCTTTTTGTGCTTTATAGTTTCTTGAACACATGCTGTGGTTACTCATTTGCAAAAGACAGAGCAAGGGCATAGTTTGGGGAGAGCATGCAAAGTACAATACAGTATGGGCACAAGAGCAGAAAACATCTGTGCACAGGCACATCTGTCCCTGAAGATTTTGCTACTTTATTCAGCTCAGTTATCTAATCACAAAAAGCAGGACAGAAAACAGGGATTCATGCTGCTCTGATCAGTTTTTCCTTCAATGTGTTGAATGTTCCAGACCCTGTGAGCAGGTGCACCTCATCAAAGCCAGATTTTATACCCATTGTCTCCTAGCAACAACACCAGAAGAGGAGAGCGCCACCAGCTCCAAGGGCTACTGCTATTTAACGAATCGTCCTCCGGCTTTGTTTGGATGTTTTGGTAAAAGTAGGCCACCAGTTCTGCTGCACCAGTCTGAACTGGCAAACAGACGGCAGACAAATTAGCAAGTACTTATTTGTGTTTTGCAGCAGGTGTGAGAGGTAAATGATTGGAGTGTGCTTGTTGGTGTTCTTCCTGGTGATGTTCTTGTGCTTCAAATACATGGCCCAGGCATGGCTGTTGAAAAGGCCAGGGGGTCTGGCACTGTGTAGTTCCTTGAGCACGTACTCTTTTTGCATTTTTCATATGGGTTAGAAATAAGGTGATGCTGGTTCTCTCCCTGTACCTTTCTGCAGGTAGCCCTGGGTCTGGAGCTGCCCGTTTCTGAGGAGCTGTCACCGGCAACATCAACCTGCCCAGTGTTTGACTGTCTTGTTATGTCTTGTTACATTTCTGTTCTTTTCTCTTTCCTCTATCCACTCACCCCAACTGGTCAGAGGTTTTTTCTGTAAAAATGACTTTTTCAAGGGTGATTTGTTGGGTTTTTCCTCTATAATAATAAGAATAGTAAGGTCTAGACCTTACTTTGTAAAGTATCCTGAGACAACATTTGTTGTGATTTAGTGCAATACAAATAAAAGTCAAACTGAAATTGATCAGGTTGTGGAAAAGGAAAATATATGTTAAGCAGTAGTAATTGTTCGCATTTTGGAGATGAGATGTGTCTTTGGTTAGGACCACACATAGATTTGTGCTGCAGTAGCATTAATGCTGGCAAAATAAACACAACTGTATGTGTCATTAGTATAACTTGTGTTATAATGTGGACAATTTAAAACTAGACTTGTAAAAGATGAAAGTTATCACTATATGTTGTTATCAATGTAACAATAACACACAGTAAATACTATTCTAATCAAAGGAGTGTAATTTTAAAAACACCTGAGGAATTTTAGAAGTTTAAAAAGTTTCTAACTGCACACAGACGAAGCATCCCAGGTTATATTTTGAAATGTTGTTTACTGTCTGTTACCCAGAACCTTTATTACAAAGTCTTGTGCTTGATGTGAGTGTCAGCCTTTCTTTGTCACTGTGGGCCGTCCCAGCAGAGATTAGGGGCCAGGGCTGCTGAATGGAGATGAGAGGCAGCTCTTTTTTAACTCTGGATGCTTTCACTCATCATGAATGAGTGCAGTTCTGAGAAATGTGCCCCCTGAACAGTGGAGGACGCCCTTAAATCCAGCAGAGCTCCTGAGGGGATCTGTCTTTGACAAACAACTTCCCCCATGAAGGAAACTCAGCCCACAGATCAGTGAGTGCCTCTAAAAAAAGGGTGAGTGAAGGCGTGATCTTATCCACCAGCATCGTGAAGCTTCTGGCTTCTTCTGGCCGTTTCAGGTTTCCAGTCTGAAAGGAAAGGTCAAAGAGAAGTGATGCTGCAGATGATTTATCTGTTTATGAACTTTTATATATGATATATTGTTTTACATTTAGTTATATACTGTAAACACAATGGTGTAAGGGGATATTTACAGCGGTAATTTTCCCTCGCAGCACCTGAACAGTGGAGCATAATGTTAAAACAAATCATGTTTACAGTTAGCACAATCGGGTCTCAAAAGGTCAAACATCAAAAAGCTACAGAATGAGTGACACTGACAGATGCTGTCAATCCAGCAGGGGTTACACTGCTGGTGTTTAGCACAGGGGCAGGGGGTTCGGGATGGGAACAGACAGCTGAGTGGGGCCGATGCTCTCTAGAGCCCAAACAGCTGAGACCACGCGGGCCCAGGCAGGCAGCGCAGAGTGGCCTCTGAGACTTGGCTTTCTGATGAGGAAAGCCTGTTGAGGAGAGGAGCTAGACTGCACACTCAGAGCTGCTCCTTAAGCTGAGCAGACGTCATTGGCCAGATCTCCACAGAATTGACAAAAAAAATCATGCTAATAAACAGCTGTGCTCACAGTAGAAATGATAGGAGGTTCTGTCCTCTGCTATATCTAGAGAACACAATGCACAACAGTTGCACATTATCACAAATAAGCGGCTCTGCATCTATTTCGCCCATAACACTCAACAACGGTTTATGCTATCTAACAACAAGAATGGTAAGATTAGTCAGACTGTGGCTTGCAGAACCTGATGCAGTAAATTTCAGTTCAACAGTCTAACAACGAACATTTAATTCAAGAACAATCTCTAACACATAAAAAAATCATGGTTGGGCGTCAGAGCATCTTGCTCAAGCTTTTATCCCCTCTCTGCTGGTTAAGTAAGCCTTGAGTAAATGATGCGATCACTTCATGCAGGGAGAAAGGAAAGAGCCTGATGTACAGCAGCTATATTTTTTAATAATGCAGCACAAGAAAAGTGCAAAAGTGAACCAAGCTGAAGCACAAATGCCTGCTCTTTGATGCTCTCCCTTAATAGCATCATTAGCACCCACAGACTTTACACCTACAAACACAAACCAGCCTCCAGAGCACCACAGGCAGCATGGGATGGAAGTGATCTGAGCAGGGCCTCCCATCTCAGCACAATAACTCACCCAAGAGTCAAGTTGTGAGTGCTCAGTGATGTGCTCAGTTACTCTCCAAGCCCAGAATGTGACCTCTGTCAGCCAGGATCGCTCCACTGGGCCCACTGTCTTTCCCCTTGATGGCTATCTGACCAGTGACATCTGTTTTCAGGCTGTATTTACTAAACCTGAATGGTAGCAGATTGAAAGATTTCCAGGAGGCTCCTTGTTGTGTATAAAGGACCAGCATCTACAGTCCATAAAATTAGGCATGTTAGACATAATTAATTTTGGCATGTTTCAATATCTTTTGACAATTGTCATGCTGAAGTGTAGAGGCTCTGTTTTGCCACAAGCACTGGCTCCATATCAATGTCTGGTGTTGTTACTTTAGCATTTATTTGAACTTAAACCATGATCTTCCACTACACCAAACCATGGCGTGCACTACTTTTTATTACTATAACAATGACGATGAAGGTCCAGTACATGATAACAGCCTCCTGAGCTAACTACAAGGTGGAGTATGGCCCTTCTAACCTATATGCTCAGATAACAACCAATTGGCTGATAACATTCAAAGTGGATGGACACCTTCTGTTTTGATTTAATTAACTATACATTAAAATTTAAATCTATACTTAATCATAAAGAGGATGTTATTAAGGAGTTAAAACTGACATTTTGCCTTTGACCTACTTAATGAATGTAAACACAGAGCACAAATACTGTATATTGTGATGAAAGTATTTGTTGCAAAACAAAACAATTATCTGTATGTGGGTCGGAAAAGTCATTTGGAAACATTTGAGAAAATATTCCATCAACACTAGTTCATTTTAAAGGTGAAATGCGCCTGAAATTAAATTACAGTCACTAAAATTGCTATGTTTTGAGATTTAAAAAGTGCTTGTGCTATATAATCCAACCATATTTGTGCTCGGTAACACCCAATCTTAGCACCTAATGGTGCCACCAAGGATAAAGAGGCTGCAGACCATCTGGATACTGGATGCTGTGCTGCTCAGAGGTGAGGGAGCGTTTTGAGGAGTGCATACCAATAAGAGACTGGATGATGCAAGAGATTATCCTTGGTGACAACAGAAACAGAAAAAATTGGGTGCCAGATTTGATAAATGTCTTTGTGCTGTGGACAAAATGTGATCAAACATGCACAGAAATCCTTGGAGTTAAACCTGGGACCTTCCAGGAGGAGTATAAATGAATACTAAATGAAATACCTCTGAAAGGTGTAGAGAAGCAAGTTTTGTAACTGGTTCATCAACGTGCAGTCATCCATGTTGACATGAGCGTGGAGGGTCAGCAAAGCGTGTCCAAAGCCTCTCTTACCCCACAGTAGTGAGCAGAGGTGATGGGGCTGTCAGATAAGGTTGAAAAACCAATGTGACAACACTGTCTGTTAGAGTAAGACAAGTTTGTTTTCAAAATAGCAACAGAGGCGGTCACTCACTCAGACGATGCACAAAACAGTTGGGGAACATCTAATCTTCAGGACAGCTGTCCAGGTAAACATGTTTGTTGCTCTTTGACCTAAAGAAAGAATGTGATAGTAGTTTAATGTGAAGTATTTTCCAGCAAAAGAGAAGAAGTGAATGGGTAGGACTGAATCAAATCAGTTTTTCAAGGATTAAATTTAATCATTTGGGTACAGAAATTACTTATTGAGCATAAAATCTCTGGAGAAACACAGTGATCAACTGCTTCCACCCACACCTGCCCCACATGGGTTGTAAACAAAAACCCCAGCAAAAATAAACCCATCATAAATAGATTACACCCACTTAGACCACAACATTACAGCTCTTGAATATCATTTGGCATGAATATCAGAAAACACATCTGACCCATGATACTGCTCCATTAGCTCCTAGTTTATGTGGCCAAGTGTATGGACGGATTACTGAACAAGTCTACTGGGCAGAGCTGGGGCCCCCTAAACAAGATCATGGTGAAGTGACTTTTAACCTTTCTATTGGAAACTCAAACAACTACAAAGTGATCACAAAAGCAACAAAATGAGGCAAACAATTAACACAAAATAACTACAAAGATACAGCTACACTACAATACCACTAAAAATACAGAAAATGACTAAAAAGAGATTGAAAACAACCCCAAGGACTCTAAATGACTATAAGCAAAACAATAAAACCAGACTCTAAACAACTGAAAAAACAGACACAAAACAAATGGATGAAAAATAACTACAAAGAGATGCAAACAAAGTCAAAATTGCCACAAATTGGCTAAAAACAGACACAAACTTAAAAAAAAAAAAAACTACCACAAGAAGACAAACTGACTACAAATGGGATTTCCCTGTATGACTCAAAGTTTAAAATGTGTCATCAAAAATGCTTCAAATGAAAGTGAAAAGAGATGGTTTCTGACATATAGAAATGTGTTTATACATACTGTATATTGGACACATACTAAAATACAGCACAGGAATGTTGTAACATTGTGTTATTTCAGTGTGTACAGAAAATGATACCACCTATAATATGTACAAACAACAACAAACAGAGCACTGGAATGGAAAGTCACTCCTGAATCAAGAGCATTTATTTCCAGCAGGATATGAGTGTGTAGAATTGAATGCAAATATTTACTTCCATTAAGAACTGGGGTCACTCTCCTCTGCAGGTCAGAGCAAGCACACACCGAGCTGTTGCTGATGCCTTTGAGGCTGTCTGACTTTGGTGTGAATAAAACATGCCGCAGCATGTTGGTAGCGACGATCGAGGAGGCCTCCTGCATTATTCATGTGTAGTAGCAGGAGAGGATGAGGGGTTGGTGGTTGAGGAGGGTGATGGGTGCTGTAAAAGAGGAAGAGGGAAGGAAAAGAGAAGGGGGGACCACATGAGAAAGTGTAAGGGTGTTTCCAGACTGTAAAGACCAGGGTGCGTCATCTAACAGGTCACTTATAGTCACCTTGTGGCCACCGACAACCATCTCAGTCCTCAGTTCTGCAGGCTGTGAATAACAATTTATGGCTTTGACAGGTTAGTTGAGCCCAAAGCTCTATCTGAGCTCCTTTATCAGAGGAAGTTAAAGGAAAAATAGCATAAAAATGAGCAAAAAAAAAAAATCTTCAGTACCATCAGAACCCATTTCGATTAACCACATCCATACCTGTATTAATAATCTTCACGTGTGTGCTCCAGAGTGTCAGGGAGTGGCATGGATGGGATGTGAGTCTCTCTAGTCCTGGTGATGTTATCCCAGCCCCAGAGGCAGGGTTCTCCCATAAAGAGCTGAATCAGGGTTTTGCCTCTGCAGCACTGGCTGAGCGGAGGAAACGTGTTCCAGTCAGCAGCTCTTCTTCCAGTCAGGGAGAGGCCGACACAGACAGAGCCGTGAGCCAAAGCTGATGCTACTGCACCACCTGCAGGCTCATGACCAGACCAAGTGCATGTGTGCTTGTACCTGTGTGTGTTGCACAAGGAGGGTAAATCAGTCAAAATGATCTTGACACTGGGAAGCTCTCTGCCCAGTACATCATTACTTTATCTGTCAAAAAGAAAATATGCCAAAGAGAAATTAAAGGGCACCCTTATCTGTTTCATTCTGTGACTCTGATTAACCAATGCTGAAGATGTGAATTGTACAGCTGTATCTGTTCACTTGTTATGTGACACACCCTGAAGGGTAATAGGTCAGCGATGAGAGTACCGATGCATCACAGAAAGTCATATTGAGTCTTTAAGTCAGTACGTAAAAATGAAGCGAGTAGGGCTGCAGCTGACTGTTTGCTTTATGAAATGTCAAAAAAATACTGAGAAAAATGTGAATCAAATTGAAAATCTTGTCTTGTTTTCCTGATTAGAACTCCAAAACTCAAAATATTCCATTTACTACAATATATAAGAGACACAGGGACTGGAGACTGCGAATGTGTAGCAATGTTCACAGTTTTTGGTTGAAAATGGCTTAATCACTTATCAAAATAGCTGCCTAACTGATTCTTCAAGCAAGATCATTTTACTTCTACTGTACTTAAATCTTGGTGAATGCCAGTGGAATTATCTGCCTTGTGTTGCCTCTAATTTAATTACTAAAAAAACAAACTTGCTAAAATAAATTAATTTGAAAACTATCAAGTCCCACATGTAAAACTCTGCTTATGTAGGCGTCGTACTTATGCTGGACGTCTTTGACTGCACCCTTTCTATTAATGTAAGATTATTCTGAAGCATGAAGGCGAAGGAGACGAACAGAGTAACTGGTGCCAACAGGGCTTGATTGCATTAATGTGCACACTCAGTAGCAGCTGGAGAGTCATAGCGCAGGCTTAAAGTCAGCAGTGCGCTGCACCAGCTGAAACACTCCTCCCTTTCCTCAACACAAACTCACATAGTGCACCCTAGTTTATAATTCAGTCTAAATGCCCTCCATCAGCCTATGGAGCAAAAACCCACTACTGTTCTCACACAAATCTAACTGGATTCAAGTCGTCATCCGTGACAGTTTTTACAGTTTAAAGGTATAATCAGACACATTTTCAAATCAATATATTTGTTTTCTAGACCCTGTGTTCACTGTCTTGAATTAGTTATTGACTCTCTCGACATGCAAGCTTTGAGAAATGCAATTACTGCAAATGTTGTTAAACATAATACAAATGCTTATAATGTGGCTCCGTTACTTGTTAAAGGTCCACACAAGAAGTTTAAAACCTGCTCTGTTCCTCCTAAAAGTGGGTATGGTGACTCTATGTCTAGCACTAATTTTGCTATCACTACCTCAGAGATTCGGTGAAACAAAAACGCACGTTAAACAGCATCACAGCTTTTTGTGTCACTATTGACTTTGGTGCTACAAGGGCCTCAAACATTTCCACCCTGTTGTACCTGAGACTTCCATTCACCAAGTTATACAAAACTGAAACCATTTCACCATCTTTGCATGAACCACTGAAACACAATAACCTGGTGAGACCACACCAACAGATTTCACACACAGCCAGGCCTGTTGTCTGAACGTGGAGCTCTCCTGTAGGATATTACTCAGTGACAGGATGGCTGGGGACGGATTTCGACTGTGGAGACACTAACCACAGTTGCACAGTCATCAGGACTCAGTCATGATTTATGGTCATACAGAACGACAGATAACGGTCGATTCCCTTCAGGACCTCCGCTGGAGGAAATTGCAATAAGTAGAGTGTATAAAAACTGGAAGTGAGTGTGGGCATAGCACATCTAAAAAAAAAAATATCTTGATGCCAAAACCTGGCATTAATCTAAACACTTTTGTTGTAATAGGTTTGTCATAAAATTGTCATATATTTCCTAAAAACATACCTTAAAGTAGTGATTATATTAATATTCGATAAAAATATTTAACGCTTTAGAGATTGGTAATAAATTAGAAAAAGCATCTGTCAAAATATTTTAAATTCACATTAAAAGATTGGGGATTATTCAAGTCAGTCTTAAAACAAGCCCGACGCTCATATATGTACAGTATATCAGAATAGGTGTGACTGGCTGTAATATTTCTTACTCTCCACACTGGCTGAACACAGCTACACTGTAAAAAAAAAAAAAAAAAAACAAAATACACGGCCCTCATTTAGTGTAAAAATGCACTCAGCCCATATGTATGGCCATTTGGACTGCTATTAGACATATCTCGATTCTTTCAGAGTCCCTAAGGTGAAACTTGTGGAAGCTTTTTCCTACTGCTCATTTCTTTCAGACACAGACATGAACCAAACTAAGGCAGGAATAAACTGGAGAAAAAGCCAGAGCGACTCAGGTGTCGCACATGCACAAGTATAATCCACACAGAAGCAGGTTTTACTGGTATCCCACTAACCACAAACTGCAAAAATGCACCAGCTATGAAATCTACAAACTCACTTCCAAGTTAATTCCAAGCACAACGTATCCCTCTGTTGCAGCCCAGTAACAGAGGGATACGTTCCTACTACAGTGAGAAAGAACCTGTTCAGTTTATAAAATGTTAACGGTAACATAGTTCAACATATCATACAACACATATTAAAATGGTTAGTTTTGTCCAAGTAACAGTCCAGAACCAAAATGAAATTTGGTTCACTCTTGGTTATGATAAGGAAAACCTGCAAATCTTCACATTTTTGCTGGAAGGTGATTATTGCTAATCAATTAATAGTTTTATCTTTAACTATCAGAATGTTCTCTTATCACTAATTGCACAAAAAATAGAAAGAAAAAGTTTAGTTTTATTTGAATAATCATAAAACTGCACCACTTTAAAACTGGTTTTCCCTGTCAGTGGTCATTACTGGGTTACGGACTGTTATCCTGATGTGTGACAACTCAATATAAATTGTTTTTCAAAGTGTGTTTATCTGCAGAAGTTAATTAAAAACAATCCTCTTGGTGTACCACATCTCCTTTCTTTGACAGTGTTTTTGAGGAACTTGGCACAGGCCTGTCCCCTCTCACTGATGTGTAGCAATACTTTCACTGACTCTTAGTTCCTGGTAAAAGCACTGATGCTTTGCCCAAGCAAATAGTCCTATCTCCCCAACGGACCGAGATTACAGCACCACTGGTTTAGATGTACTGGCAAGAAACGTGATCCTCAATTAGCCGTTAATGTTTTGACACGACTGATTAACTAAGACTCCCCCGATTAAGGCAACGTACAGAAGGAAGTGGGATTCTGAGGGGGGGGGCTCTGCATCTGTGGCAGTGCGTTTGTGTGTGAAGGGGAGGTTGGGAGGGTGGCAGGGTGGTCTCAGAGGATAGCCGTTGTCTTTCTCAGAAAAGAAAACTTGTCTCACCCCAGAGACAGATGAGCAATGTGTTAGGGCTTTGTGGTTTATGGACAGAACAGTTCTCAGGCTGCTGGGGTTTTCACTGGAATAAAAGAAGAAACTTTTACTCAGAAATAACTGACAGTTGTGCCAGTTCACTGTGCCACATTGTAGTTCAAATGTGAAACTTTCAAGCACCATGAGAGACCTCAGTCAGACGACATGTGCATTTAGAAAAGGCTTCATTTTGAGCAGAAAGAGGAGGCGAATTTGTCCTCTGAAAACTCAAAAGGATTAACTTTTCCAGCTTCCTCCATAAAGCAACACTCCTTCCCTCGGTCGTCGCACTGCAAACTACTTTCCATAGCAGCCAGATCAGCTCCATCTGCTTGAACTGTGACAATAAAAGCCACATGGTGACAACTGTCCTGAAACCCTCTGCATGACTGGGGCCAGGAGATGATTTCTGCAAGGTGTGACCACCATCATAATTCACTTCCTCCAGACATCCCTGTATCTTCCTCTGAGGGGGCACATATTACTGCATTAGTTTACTTTAAGGAACACAAAGTTCCATAGAGGCTTTGATCTGCACATCTGAGTTTCTCCTGCAATGTCCTGTGGTCTGCTGTTGCTATTCAGTTCCCAAAAGCCCGACTGTGTCTTACAACAGTTTGGCAGCAATTCGATAGATGACAAAAGGGCTTACAGTCCGATACACGCAATATATTTAACAAAGGAAGGAAGAAAACAAACTGTCACTGTTATTTGATGTATGTAAATTAACAGAAAAAGCTAATGTATCTGTTTCCTACAGGTCTTTTAGTCTGTAGATTAGTGTAAAATGCAAAAACAAAGTCTCAGAATCCCTAAATAAATGCTGCACTGCCCACATTGTATAAGCAATGTCCTCATAAAGAGGAAGTTCATTATTTTCACATTGTTCAGCAGATCCTACGACTGCTTCAGGTCCACTGAAACTAATTCATTTTGCCACAACATTTTGTAGTTTTAAAATCTGGTGTGATGAATTCTACTCATCCAAGTTAGCAAAAAACAAACAAAAGCTAAATAAAGGTTAAAGATGGCTGAGCTCGTTAAAAAATAAAAAAAAATGGGCCTGTGTGGATCACTGCGTTTACTTGATCAAGCTGTGACACCCAACTGTTCTGTGGTACACCAAGAGATGGTGCATCTCACTGCTGCTCTCACACAAAACTCTGACAGAACCTTCTCTCAGCCCGCCGGTGACGACGAGATAAACCAAACCTGATGAGGCGGAAGTAGAAAACAAGAGTTCTCCTTTTAATTTCTGCAGCCGCGACATACAGGTCCATTTACACAGATGCCTGATTTTAACTTGAATCTGCACATGTCACAGTTTGAAGTTTTCAAAACAAAAACAAAACCAAAAAAAACAAAACAAAAAACGACATGCACAAATTAAAACCTTTAAAAATATATAAAAACAGTACTTTTAAACCTCACTTTGACAAGTACCATTTCAATAAAACATTTAATAATGCACAACAGAGCAGACCAACTGAACCATTTGTTTGTTTTTTTTTAAATAGACAATATCATCATGCAAAGGATGTAATATTAAATAACAAATCAAACAAAAATAATGTATAGATCTCTATATATTTCTCTTTAAAATTTTCAAGTCAAAGCACTCCCATTTCCTGTACAGGGAAAAACCAAGACATTTAAAAACCAAAAAAAACATTACAGCAACATCTTTTAGGCACAGAAAAAGATGTTCATTACGGCAGTAGCATTTTGCATTATAAATGAGGGAGGAGATGCAGCTCTTTTTTTCCAATTAAAAAAACAAAAACAATAAAAACACACACACACACACACACACACACACACACAAACACACACACACACACACACACACAAAACATTCTGTGCACTGACATCCGTCAGGAGAGTGGTGTCTCCCCCCAGCAGGCTGAGGCAGCAGCAGCTCAGTCTCACTGCAGCATGCTCTTGATTGTCTTGTTGGTCGATTCATCATTCAGATGCTTGGTTGTGTACCTGCAACACGTGATGAAATAAACCACATCAGTACTTGATGGAAGAAGACAGTAGATCCTTCATTTAAAAATAATCTGTGAGACATAAAAGCCTCATTCCAAGGTGTACTAGTAGAAGCACAAATGTATTACCAGCTAAATCTAAGTAAAAATACTCGTCCAGTGAAAAACATCTCCTGTAACTGACACGTTAATCCTGATGAATCAATGTGCGAGAAGCATTTTACTGTGTAGTTTGGACTACTGTGTGTACAGTACAGAAAATTAGCAAAAGTAAGTGTAAATGAATGTGCACGTTTCCATCCACTGCTACAGCATTGGGACGTGAAGGCACCAACAGCTGATTTTTAAAGCTGCATTCTCCTGAGCTCCTCCTGCCACAGTGAGCAGTCTGTGGTGGTAAATCAGGTGCTGAGGGTGTTTGTATAAATTATCTCCTCCCATATTTTGCGTCTCTGAATGGAACCCCCTTAAAATACATACGTATTGCATGAGACTAAACACACAACTTCCAGTGACGCTGCTTCTTTTTTTCTGGCACAAAACCAAAATGCGACTGCTTGGTTAATAAGAAACACATGCAATTTCACCGTTTAGTGCCAAAAAGGAGCCTCAAAACCTTAGTAAATAAAATCTGGGAGGCAACCAGAATCGGACGCACAGCTGACCAATTCCCTGATGGACTGGGTAGTGAACAAGCCAGTGTGTTAGCGGGGATTGAAAGAAACCAGGTGGTCTATCTCAGACGCCAACATCATCCAGCTCACAGTGGTGAGCTACAAACAGACCACATGCTGAGCGGCAGGGGAAAAACACAACTGGCCTGCAGCAGGAGCTGACCTGAGAGCATTGAGAAGGCCTTCGACGCTGTTCGGAGGCTGATCTTTGAGGACTTTGATGCACCCTTTCATCTGTGAACCACAGGCAGACTGTTAGCTTTAGAACAAGCTGAGAGGTGGGACAGTGGAGTGAAGACGGCCAAACTCACGTCGATTTTGGACGACTTAGCGAAGGCTCCTACAGGATGGACATGGTCGTACAAGATGATGACGCCGACCATGACCCGGAGGCAGAAAGACACCGTCTCCTCGCTGCTGAATCGGCTGCGGTACTCGCTGCAGGACATGAAGGACAGATCAGACACATGAAGGTAATGAACAAGAAGTGGATCAGCTCTGACAAAAAGCCACTTACGGTGTTTCCAACATGACTTTACACACCATCGCCATTGTGCTTAAGCAGTCTGTCGTGTTCTCAATAGGCAGGTTCTTATTCTGTAGAGAGAGAAAAGAATTGAGAGGATGTGTTCACACAGATGTTGCCAAAACACAAAAGCTCACTGCATGTCCTGTCAGTCTCACCTCCGATACAAACTTTGTTGTGCCATCACTTAATGTCTTCAGCATGGGTGTGGCGTCAGCATAGAACAGCGATATCCTATTGGCCAGTTCGTTGTTAACTTCATTCTCACCCTCTGCCTGAAAACCAGTTAAAAAAAAAAAAAAAAAAAAGAAATGTATTGAAAAATTACTTTCATGTCCAAAGTCAGGATCAGCTGCAGAACAGAGAACAACTGATACAGGGGGCTGTGGCTGTGTTGGTGTGTAAAGCTCAGACAGTGGTTTGTAACATTCTCAAAGTTATCAGAGCGGCAACTGTTATCTTTGGTCATGATGATCTCAAGCTTCACGTTACAAAGTAATAGAACTGTCAGACAATGTATTGTGTTTATTAAAGCAATTTAATGTAATCACTGACTTGATACTGTTGCAGTAGCACAGAAAACACAAAGCTAAGAGTCAAGTTAAACTTAGATAAGGGGCTTGGTTTCCTACAGGAAGAGCTAAGGAGTCGAGCACTAACCGAATGCTGAGAGACTACACTGTTTCTTTTTTATGACGTGAGCAAATGCCTGCTGGAGACTCCTCTCCTTCGAGAACATACCAGACTGAAACTCTGTCGTGGTTATTTACTGCTCACTCATTTGCTGCATTGAAGGAGCCTTGAACTCAGATGTTTGGACAGACTTATTTCCCTCACCTACCCACAGCTAATTTTAAGGGATAACAGTTGAAAATTAGCTTTTTGGCAAACACTGGTATATTTACAGTAATGTTGATTAATATGAGAATTGTCCATAAAATGAAATGAAATAAAAAATAATAATAAAAAAAGGTGTTAAATAAGGCTGCAGTGAGGGGGAGGATGCAACATGCTCACCGGTACGTTGTTGATCCGCATGCGGCTCAGGGTTCTCCTGTAGTAACTGAAGTCATTCTGAATGGCAGGATTTGTCATCTGTGAAACAGAGAAGTGTTTTAATACAGTTAGAGGCAGTGAGGAGCTTTTCTACATGCAGGGCATCCAGCTCTGAACCAAACACCATCACCACGACAGAATGCTTTTGCTGAACTGAATTTCAGTCCTCTGACATATACCCCTGCGTTTACATCCTCATCACCTCTGCTGTCAGAAAATATTCAGTTATTTTCCCACTGTACATGGGGAGAGTTTGTGACAAGAGGGTCAACAATTATACAGCCGACACAAAGGTATTAAGGGCTGTATTAAGAAGGAGATGTTAGCGAGAACAGAGGACGTGTGTTTTCTGTCTGATGTTATTTACACTCACTGCCTCAGATAAAAACCACAGAAGGGAACTTTAAGGACACAAATATAAGTCATCTGGTTTTAACATGAAGCTATCCTGAGCCCTCCCAGTAAAAATGAACAAACCACAGAGCTTCTTTCAAACATCCCGCCAGTCAGTCCATCCTCTGGATAATGAGCCTGTCACAGTTGAAGCTGCGCTGGTAGCGCACTAATCCCACTACAGTAGACTGGTACCATGTCCACTAGGAACAGGGTGCCTCATTGGGGAGGCGCTGTATGCTGCGCACACACACACACACACACACACACACACACACTAACTAGCTCATGTACGGGTCTGAAAGGCTGATGAATGGGCCTGGCATGCCACCCCCCCCACCGACCTTCATGCTTTAATCTTGCTACCCTGGCTAGTGGGCGCTAATTGGGACATCACAGCAAATTGCCTCGGGGTGCCAGGTTGCGTTTCTTTTTAGGTTTTTGCTTTTAAGGAGTGAGGGCATAGAGGAACCAGTTCACCTGCTGTCAGACAATTATGGTTCTGATAATGGGAAATCTGACTGACACCCATGCTCGGTATTTTCTGAGTTGCATGTCAGTGATTTGTGCCTGAATTCAAGCTTGTTCTTGAAGAGTCCTACTGCCATCATTTATAAAACCTGCCCTATGCAGAACTCGACTCAGTTTGCTTCCCCAGTTACCCTTATTAGCCATTCCACTGACATCCACTGGTATAAACAGCAGAGCAGCATCAGGATTCAAATTAAATGCTAAACGTGCTGCAGTTTTAATGGCAGAGCAAAAATCAATTAAGCAGCATCAGCAGGCTACAGGGCAAAAGGAGGTCTGGTTTGTATTGCAAAAGGAAAATGCAGAGTTTAAAATCAGCATAAAAATGTGAGTTTATCTTTATATACAGAAACATCTTACTTTAAGCTCGTCGAAGCGCAGTGTGAAGTGCAGGATCTCTGCAAACTGCTTGGCCAGCGCCTGCTCCCGTTCCAGGTGCTGAGTGGGGTCATAGGTCACGCTGGTCAGAGCTCTCAGGAGGCTGTGCAGCGCGGCCTCTGTGAGGGGAGAAAAAACAAAACAAACCCTCAATACTGAAATGAGCCCAAAGAGACCTTCAAATGTGTGTGCTTGTTTCTTTGGTCCAGGCAACTGTTTCCAAATCTGAATTATATTCAGCTTATTTACCAATTATGACAAAAGCAGTAAATCTTTACCCTTGAAGGATGTTGGCATGTTTGCTGACTGAAGTGATTACTCATTTGAGAAATTTCAGTTGCTTTGGCTCCACTAAATTAAACAATTTTTATTTCTGATCAATCGTTTGAACAAACATGTCAAACATCTGGTTGTTCCATTTTTACTTAAATGTAAACTGAATATTTTGGGTTTTTGAATGTTGGTCAGACAAAATCTGAAGATATAATCTTGAGCTGGTGGAAAGTTTTATATCAACTATTCAGTTTTCTTCAGCTCTTCACTCTTCCTCATAACCACAGTTAGATGTGTGAACAGAGCAGTGCGTCAGCCAGCTGAAGCAACCCGATTAGGACAGAGATGATAATGGAATGGGGCAGAGGTGGTCCTCAAACTGCCCAGGGCCAAGTGCCAACCCTGGGGTGGGGGGTGGGGGCTCCTGCTCAGAGGCAGATGAGACATGGGGCTAATTATCTTAGTGGCATGAAATGGGATGGGGGCAGGGACGGGATTTCATTCACAGCAGGATTACGCTCATTGTTTTCACAGTAAGTTTACACAAAGCCTGGGCTGTGCCTTGACACAGCATACCCATAGATCGATAATCATGCATGAGGAGGCTCGCGAGGAAAAGATTACATGAAATTAACTTTCAAGCAATCAAACATCTCTTTCCAACACCTAGTTGTGAAATAAAAAAGCTTTAAAGCCAGAGGGAGTTTTTATTTATAGATGCAGACGGTGCTTAGAATTCAAACTAGACGCTTCAGTAATGACAGAACCCAGAAGAGCTCAACATCTGACGCAATGAGCTGCGTGGCACTAAATGAGCACTTGAGTTACATTTATTATTCAGTGTGTATTTTACAGTTCCTGCT